ATATGTCCGGTGCGCCGCCGCCCGCCCGCTCGGGATGGAGGGGCCGCCGCCGGCTCCCGCAGCCCGGCCGGACCCGCTCCCGCTGGGCGGCGGCGCAGGGCGGGCGCGCCCCGCCACCCGCCGAAAGGTGAGCGCCGGGGCGCCTCCCCAGCCCCGCGGAGGGAGGCGGCGAGGAATGCCGCCGCGAGGGCTTGCCAGGAAAGCCCCACGGCAGGGCGGAGGGGCAGCTGGCTTGGGAGGACCCCCAGGCACCCCGCCGGGGCTGCTGCCGCAGGCACCGAATCGTGGGGATGCCAGAATGACCACCCCTGCAGGCGAAGGCAGGGATTCTCTTGTGCCGGCCACCAAAAGATACGCCCCCCCAGCAATCTGGGGGAGTGAGGGGGTGAAAAGGGGAAGCGAATCTCCCAGGGTATAATTCCTGATCAAGTTCTGATCCTGTGTCATCCCCACCACAAACAGCCGCCCTCCTGCTCGGCTGCCACCAAACACTGATGAAGTTCCAAGGAGAGCAGGAAAAGCAAACGGGCAATTTAATAACAGGTAAATAGAACTCCAGAGCCCATCACCCATGGCCCTGCCTCAGTCGGCGTAACCCGCCTGCTCATCACTGCTCTCTTCGTCAGAGAGGGGCTGATCGGGGCTGCATGCGTAACAGATCCGGCCCATGTCTTGCCAGCAGGGCTTGCAGTACAGGCTGCCACAGTCCGGGTTTGGGCACAGGCGGGAATTGTGAGATTCGGGCAGGCGGCACAGGATGCAGCGCCGGCGGAGGAAGCGCTGCAAGAACGGAAGCCAGTGGCCCAGGCGGTCCAGGAACGGCTTCTCCTACAACGGGGGAGAAGGAAGAGCGGGGCATTTGGTGCCAGTGCGGGGGAGAACGAAGGGGAAGCCATGCCGGGTTTAAGGCCAGGCCTCCAAGCTGCAAAGCTGTGGGAGCCAATCTGAGCCAGAGCGGATCCTGCAAAGGGTGGGATGACCGAGCGGGAGCTTTGCCCTGCGTACCTTCTGCAGCAAGGAGGGTAGAACCAGGACCGAGGGGAACAAAAAGGGCAGGAAACAGGGACACCTGCCCACAAAGGTCGGAGCAGGCTGCCCAGTGCCAGGCCTGTGTGTCTGATGCGCAAAAGCAAGGCTCGGATGGCAAAGGAAAGACATAGGAACCCAAGAACTGATGCTTTCGCTCTTTCCTCCTCCCTCCTCGGTGGTTTTTCCTCTCATGTCATGGCTTTTAGCTTTGTCATGAGCAGAAGTCCCAAAAGACCACTCACCAGCCTTTTGTGCTGCTGGGCCCGCAGGATGATGCGCTTCCGCTGCACCGTGATGAAGGCCACACGCTGCCGCAGCATCTCATTGTAGAGAAAGAGAACGCGCTTCTTTTCCCGCTAGCAAAGAGAGGAGAAAAGGATGCTTTTGCATTATTACGCATGAGGAGTCGCCTGAGGTCTGGAAGAGGACCCTCTGCCCAAGGCAGCAAAGGAAGGACACCGTTTTTCACAGACCCACTGTGAAACCTCCGCCACGTACCCACAGCAAATGAAGAGTGTGCCTTTTCGCCCATGGAATGTGGTAGAAGCATGTGCTTCTCCGAGACACAGCTGGTGTCTTTAGACACCAAGAAAAGATTTCTTTATATGCCAAGGCATTTGTCGTCTTCATTTCTGCCATTTTCCAATCAGTTCCTGTATTTGCAAAACCTGAGACTATGGCTGGTTTTTACACTTTTCTACTGCATGTTTAATTTTTAAAAAATACACTGTTTTCTCATGCTGTATTCAGTGGCTTTAAGTGTTATGCACTGCTCATCTTTGGCTCATGGGCACTATAGAAATATGGGGCTGAAATCTTAACCCTAATATGGGGCTGAAGTACCCATGCCTCATGAGGGATTTTCTAAATCCCAGCTTTGGGGGTGTTTTTCTGCCCCACTCATTCTTTCTGTCCATTCCAGACATGCTGCAGGCCATAGCATCTTAAGGAGAACCTTGGTTATTCTGATTCTAAGCCTTAACCGTAGACATGCAATAAATAATAAATGTTCTGCCTTGCAGAGTTGTTGGGATGTGTACAGATTGCAAGTATTTTCATTTCGTATTCCTTGTCCTGTGGAGGCTGAGGAAGGAGACCTTTGCCTTGTGTGCTGTTAATTAATACTGAAAGTATGTATACCCCTGTCAGGGGAAGAACTGATAAGCTACCAAATGAATCATGGAATGGTATTTTAGCTATAGCATTGAGAATTGGGAGATGCAAATGTTTGCATTTTATGCCTTTGTTTTAGATTTTTTTTTACCCTTTGTACTGCCTGAGGCTATAAGCAAAAAACCCATTTTGATCCCAGTTCATACATCTGGTGAAGTAGGTAGAGATTCTATGAAAACTCATTCCAAAAGGGATTTATCACCCCTTAAAGGTGTCACAAAACGCGGTTGAAAACTGTAGGCACTTTGCAAGCAAATTAGGACAAATACAACGCCTTTGTAGGGAATTTTAGACACAAGTCAATCGTTTTTTCCAGCAAGCAAAGAAACATTTACTAGTTCTGCCCATTTCCTGACTGCTAGAATTGGCAGCTGACCAGTATCATTTTAATGAAATTTCGGTTTTCATTTATGTTATCACGGCTTCATCTGGTGAATCTGTTGGGGGTTTATTGATTTTGGGATAAAGAGCTGCCTCGAAATGATGTTTCCTAAGAGTGATAATATTCATGGGAAGGCTTATGTCAGTAATTCCGATGCTGTGAACATAAAGCAGCCGGACAAGGCCTTCCAAAGGCCGTGGGGAAACCGGCTTCCCGTCCTGGGCCTGGCAAACCCACCTTGGGGAAGTAGAAAGCGGCGATGACGCGACGGAGGCGGAAGACGTAAACCTGCGCAAAACAGAGCAGCAGCAAGACACCAAGTGGAATCGCACAGTGCAGGTACTGATCCTGGTTCATTCCTCGTGCTTCCGGCAGGCACTCTGAAAGGAGGACACATGGCGAGCCGAGACTTCCCGACCCTGGTGAAAGCTACATCAAGTCGCTGCGGCTCAGCAGCATGTCTGCATGGCATTGGTGTCAGGAAATGACACCGCTAAAGGGAACCTCCATAGCCAGAAGCAGTCTACCACCACCTCCCAGAGGGACTAGCCACATGGCAGCTTTCTGTGGACTGGCCCAAGGCTCCTGGCTGCCCACCATGGGAGTGAGGATGCTAGATCCGGGGTTTGGGGCATGGCTTGTCTCTTGGCAGCCGTCCCCAGAAGGAAAGAGTGTGAAGGAAAGATGCCCCCCCCACCAGTGCCCTCGAAGTGCCCGTACCGTGTGATCTTGCCTGTGTCCCAGCTCCCCAACTTACGTATGTTGTTTGCCTCCATCAGCATCTCGGAGGAGGTGTTGAGGGCCCCGATGGTGCTCCGAAGAAGCCGGGCCATCATGGTCTTCCCACCCACCTTCACTTCCAGGTGGTGGCTGCCTGCAGAGAGAGACCACCAGCCACAAGCAGGTCGCCCACTCAACAGGCTCCCCACTCACCTTTCCTCCTGGGGGTCCTCATATACCTGCACAGCCCTACCTGTCTCCCGCCTCCTCCTGAGCGTGGCTTTCCTGCAAAACGTCTCACAGAACCCGTCAGTCCATGGCACGGGGGGAACCCCGGGCCTGTGGGCCACATCTGGGCCCCCAAGTTCTCAAGGCGACCATGCACCCTTCCCATAACTCTGTGCCTTTCTCTCTGCCCACAGGTGGCCACTGTGCTTAGGCAGTTTCCCTGCCTCCTCTTCGAATTCGGCCTGTTTCTTAATGATCGCTCGGAAAGGTTCATGCTAAAATGCATTTGCATTCTGACTCTGCTCTCCTCACCTCGGGGACCCCCACCTTTGTCTAGCCCACGGCTAGGATGCAGCCCCCTCCTCGCGGCTTTTCGGCAAAACGCTTGATTGGCACCGGATGCATGCATCGATTCTGCCACAGCCATCATTTTCAAAGCAACAGGGCAGCTCACGGGGCTGAAAAGCCGGGATCTCGCTTAGCATACGCTCCTTCATGGGGCGGCCCCAAAAGGGCAAGCCACAGGGGGCGCCTTGGTTTCCTGTGTCCACCCGAAGGCACACACTCCCATTCAGACAGAACTTGTAAAGATTCTGGGGAACAGGGGAGCCAGGTCAGAATCCGCAGCTCCTGCTAGCATATCCTGAGACATTATCCTCACTGTCTCCCCAAAGATGAAAAACCTGGGCAGCAATTTATCAGGAAGTAGAAACCGGGCCTGCAGGGGGTACAGCTGAGAGGGTTGGTAGCATACAGAGAAAGAGCTGGGGCCGGAAGGCAGCACCGTCGGGCTCTTGCCAAGGGCGGTCCATGCCACGGGGTCACCTGTATACCTTTTGCCACCTGGGAGTCAGTGACTGGCACAAACTGAGCGGAGTGGGGACCAGAACCTGGATCTCCCTTGTCCGGGTCTTAGACTCTAACCACTGCATCTTGCGGCCAGTTCTGTGTGTTTATCACACTCTGCTGATGTTGAAAGGCAGGGCTAGACTGCGGGAAAGGAAGCCGCCCTTCCAGGGCGAGGTTGGGGGCGGAACAAGGTGCAGCACGTCATGCTCACTGTGGAAGGAGTACTCGACAAAGGAGTGGTGTCGGATGGTGCTGAAGATGGTGTAGAGCAGAAAATCCAGGGTGCAAGCGATCGTGAGAAAGATCAGCGCTGGCATGCAGCCCAGTAACTCCAGCATCTGCAAAGAAGCAGGGCAGGAAGGGAGGGGGGGGAGGCCCAGGGGAGGGAGATCTAAGCCGTGATGGTGGCAGCAAACCCTGCAGGAAGAAAGTCGTGGCCGGCAGCAGGACAGGAAAGAAAGGCCCCGAGCATGAGGATGTCCATATCCAACCCAGGGACCCTCCAGACGCCCCCATCAGCCAAGCCGCTGGAGTTTCCTGCCCTTCCGTCTAAAATGTTTAAAATGGTCAGGATGTGTTTACTGTTTCAGTGCTTTGCTCTGGAGCATGTGGTGGAGACCAGGCTAAAGTTGGGTTTTCTTTTCTTTCAAATAAAGAAGCCATCTGGAAAGCTAAATGGAGCCTCCATGCTCAGGTGCAATCTACCTTTGGTAGCCCGTGCCAGAAGGAATGCAGAAGCTTCATGGCAACTTTGCCTCCCGCAACACCTTTTCTATGCAGCTGCAAAAAAGTACTGCATGACTCCAACTACCCTGTTGCCCAATTTCACGTCTTGACCCCTCTAAGGCTCCCTCCAACTTTCCGCAGCACCCCTGTAGTTCTCTGCCCCGAACGCCATGCATTTACCACGTTCTTGGTCTCGGCCGGCTGGAAAGCGACGTGCGAAGGGTCGATGACACTGCTTTGCTCGGCGCGCCGCAAGGGCAGGAGCGTGCGTTTCTTCTGCGGGATCACCATGCGGGGAAAAGACAGAAAGGAGAGCGCTGGCAGCCCGAGGGGAGATGAGGAAACCCAGATCCCAGTTCCTCCGGCACCTAGCAATTCAAACTAGCAAGGCCCACCCGTCTGCCCACTGTTCCGACGACCGGGCTGCCCATCCTCGGAACTGCTCCCACTCTGACATGCCAGCAGCTCGGCTTCCATTTTTCGCCTGCAATGGGTATATTTTTTTGTCCTCCGCCTCCAGAGCCCTGATCCTCTCTGTACATAGCACCACGCTGCTCTGGGCGTGATCTGGATAGCTGACCCTACCTGCTTCCGACGGCGGGCATCGATCTGCCGGAAGTAGCGGGAGATGTAAAGATTGTCAAAGCGGATGTCCTGGTTGTAACGGTTTGTATAGGAAAATGCCCTTGGAAAGATAAAATGGGGGGTGAGATAGGAAAAGGAGAGAAACAGAAGCTTATCTGCCCCTTATAAGCATACCAAGGCCCACCCCCATCCCACCTGCCAATCAGCAGCATCATGGCTTGGGCTTGCCGTTAAAAGATGAATGAGCAAGCAGCTAGTCCTCATGGCTTGGAAGGACTCCTTGGTGGAGCCAGGGCTCACAGAGACACCACACGGGCACTTTCTCATTAGACGGGTGCTGATGTCATCCTGCAAACTCTCACATTTCCCTTTTCCCTCTGAGTTTGGAGAGGGCAGAAGACCCTTTCCCAGGAATCATCTATTGCTTCCTCTTGCGTTGCAAAGTATTTGGGGGCGGCTTGGTCCGGAATGGGCCATTCCCACCCCTCCACTGTACAGGAGACCTGCTCCCAGTGGATGAAAAGCCCTGGAATTGTGTTGTTGGTGCAGGTCTTTGCAGCAAGTGGGTGAGCCCCATGTGCTTTTAAGCGGGGGGGGGGGTTCCCTGCTCAGCACTGACTGTGACACCGGCTGCTTCTCCCCCTCTTCCCCCCCCTCCCAAGGAGGCCCAAGCAAGGCGGCTCACGAGGCGAAAATGAGGACAAAGGTGCAGGAGAGCAGGACCCGGAGGACGGACATGGCCGTGCCCAGGCGGGCTCCGTGCTCGACGAGCTGCTCGTTCACGTCGTCCACCAGATGCTTGTGCGAGGAGAGGTCGGCCCCCACCAGCATGGACTGATGCTCTTCCTGGGCAGGATGGGGAGGAAAGGGGGGGGGAGTCACACAGGTGCCCCCCAGCCCCCCGAGCAATCCCCCTGCCAGAGAAAGGCCCCCTCTCCGCACCGTGAACACCACTCTGGCTGTGAAGTCCTGGTTCAAGCTGTCCACGGAGGAGTTTACCCGGTCGTACGTCTGGCCGAAGTTCCCTTCCACGGGGATTTTGTCCCGGCACCACACATGCATGACTGCGGAAGAGAAGACGGGCCAGGGATTGAGATATGAGACAAGGCAGGCGGGGCTGGGTAGGGCTGTACCACTTCCGAGGGCCGGGCTGTACCACCTCGGGCTGCAGGTAGAGTGGAACTTGGCAGGATGGAGTGCTCCACCCCCTCCAGATCCTAGAACCTCCCCAGACACTTCAACCACCCCCCTTCAAGCTGGGATTCAAGGGCAAAGATTCTAGAATAGCTTTCTTTCTGCAGTGCCTGCTTTCTACAGACAGGGACTATTTTCAGTTCTAGCCAAACCTTCTCCCTGCTGTGATTATATTCTGTGTGGGGGTGGAGGAATATTCTATTGTCCCCCCCCCCCCACTTCATCTACTCCCCTGGCATCTGCTCCTTAAAGTGATACAGGCCATCCTCTTTCCAAAATGAAAAGGTCGACAGAAAACTTGCCTCTGATTCATCAGACCAGTGATAATTCCCTTTATTTCAGTGTTTTTTTTCTAGGTTGGGAGCATCTTAGCTCAAAAAAAAAAAAAAATGCAAATAACATTTTGGTTTTGGTTTTGTTTCGATTTTGATCTTTATTTTGATTTGGATTTTGCTCTCATTGGCAATATGTTTCTGTTGGCTTCGTGAACATTTTAATTATTGTTAATTGTTGTTTTGGCTATGGATTGATTGTTTGGTTCTGGTAAGCTATCCTGAGAAGCCCCATGTATAGGACAGGATATAAATATTTTAAATAAATAAACAAACAAATTAATAAAAGGGGAGGGAGAAATAATGTGCAAAATTATGCCTGGTATGGAGAGAACGGACAAGAGACTTTTCTTTCCCTTTCTCATCAGCCTAGACCCCAAAGAGGTCATCCAACGAGGCCGATCGGTGAAAGATGCAGAACAGATAAAAGCAAAGATCGCTTTCGACAATGCAGGGTTAGAGTATGGAATTCACGTCCACAAAACGGCCATCAGATTGGACGGCTGTCAAAAGGGACCAGCCGAATCCACCCAATTCCTCCCGTCCACGGCATCGGCGTTGTGACTCACGCTTGGCAAAACTGCAGAGAAAGGTGAATTTCATGGGGATGCACAGCAGGTGGTTGAGCAGGGGCACCGCGATGGTGCGCAGGCAGGATCGGTGCTTGGTGTCGAACCAGCTTCTGCAGCGCGCAATGGCTTGGTCTATGATGTCTGCAAAGAGAGCCGAGCCGCATCTTCCTACCTCTGTTTTTCTGTTGCTTGGTGACAATGCCACCTTTTATCCTTCCACACGCTCTGCTTCATCGCAAACGCTTTTGCCTCTGCTTTGATTTTCCTCTCTTCTGCAGAGGCGGGTGATGCGGGTGGACCCCCGCTTAAAACGTGGTCGCCACTCAGCCCCTCCGCGCTCGGTCCTCCCCGTTCACGCGAGCTCACATGCGCAACGCAGCCGGGTCTTCGCCTCGTACACCTCCTGGGTGGAAGGGCTGGCTCTCCCCACCGCTTCCCTCACCAAGCGCACGTCGTAGCCGGCCTGGCTGGCCACCTGATTGTTCAGCTCTGAGAAGGAGCCCGAGACCACCTGGGTCTCGGATTTCAGCTTCTCTCCACTCCTCTGCAACGGAAACGTGAACAGGCGTTCAGATCCCCACAAAGTCCTGTCTCAACTGCTTAGGGCCACAGGACCAAACCTGATAGGTCATTGATCCAATCCAGTGCAGATCTTGTGTTTTCATGTGGCAGAAGAACCCGGTGCTGGGCAGGCCCGAATAGCACCCCCCTCCTCTGGCCAGTTTAAAGCAGGCCTTCTCACCACCATGTCCTTCAGGATCTTGCGCAGTGGGGCCAGGGAGGCCTTCCACGAGCGTTTGGCATTCTCGATCTGCAGCTCCACCGTGCAGCTGATGGACTTGACCACCTCGCCCAAATTGTGCCGGATGTTTGCCACCGGGCCTGGGTGCAGGGAAGGTGCATGGGGTGGGGGACAGGGAGGGCATCAAGCAGGGGAAAGCAACTCGCACCCACAGACTCGGTCATCAGGCGGGGCCAGTGCTGAGACCGCCCAGCCTTGGAGCACAGAGGTGTGGAACCTCGTGGAGCCCGAGGGCCGAAGTCCATCTCAGGAAATCCTCGGGGGCCACCAAGGGAGAGCACACACAAAGCTGTGTACACGGATGCACACCCAGAGTACCGGGGGTGTAGTGGAATGGCTGAGCCCCAGAACAAGGTAGGAAGGAGTCGCGCAGGCACACACAAGCGGGAAATAGAAAGGGGTGCCATTCTCTTGCCGTCATAGACTGCTGCCAACACGTAGGTGAGGATGTAAATCCGCCCTTCTTTGCCCAGGAATTTGGGTATCACCATGAGGCTGGCGCAACGGAAGTGCGGAGAGGTGGCCCAGCCTAAGGCAGCCACACCTGGTGAGCAAGAGAGAGGGGGGCTCAGAACCGGGAGACTAAAAAGGAGAGCAGTTTTACTGCACTTCCAGCTTTGCAACTGGTCTGCACTGGGCAGAAAGAACACAAAACCTATGGGAAGGGGAGTCTGGATGGAGGGGGATTGGACCAGCATGTTATGCTCAGGGGGACGCTTCACTGGGAAAAGGGTACTTAAAGGAACGCTTGTCCCCATATATCCCCACCAGACCACTCAGGTCATCAATGGAGGCCCTCCTTTGTGACCCCCACAAATGAGGTGTAGGGGGAGCTGCCAAGGAAAAGAGTCTCCTTGGTCATCGCACCTCACCTTTGGAATTCCCTCCAAGGGAGGCGCAAAACTGGATTTTGGTGCCAAGTCAAGACGTCCTTATTTGCATGCTGCTGGCATGTTGTTTTATGGTTATTGTTATTGGTTTTATTGTGTTGTTTTCCCCCTCTTTCCTATTTATATGCTTGTGTTTCTATTGTATTTTAATTTTACGATGTTTTATGGTTTGCTCACTATTGTTTATTTTTATCTGTATTTTAAATGTATTTATACTGCACTGTGACCCACCCAGAGAGCCTTTGGCTGTGGGACAGCATGCACATGCGATAAATATATAAGGCTGGGGTTGTGTTTCGAAATCCGGATCCCTTTGTCCATCCAGAGGCCTGGAACTAGACAGGATCGGATACCAATAGCGATTTGTCCACAAAAGCCCTTTCAGTGACGCTTCTGGGGCACGATCTCTGAATGCTGAGTTATCACACCTGTAGCCCGGGAACATTTCAAGTGCCTTCTGCATCCTCCCACCTTCCCACCCCTGGCATCTCTCTCATCCACGCCTACCTGGCGCCTACCTGCCATGCTGTACATCAGCTCGATTTTATGCTCCTCTGTGATGGTCATGGGGAAAATTAGAAGGAAGGAGAGCCCTGAAAAGCAAGGTGGTGTCAGCCCAGGCCGAAGACGGAGAGGCCAAAGAGAATAGTTTTCAAAGCACCTTTTAAAGTACAGCTTTCTGCCAGGAAGGCAGCCACAGAAGGCCATTTCAACCTTTCAGAAAGAGGAAACCCCTAAAAGCTGTACATTTTTTGGGGAAGGTGGCTTTCTGGTGAACCCCAGTTTGGCTCCAACGCCTTAGGTGCAGCACCCCTGAAATAAAAGGGATTGGAATTTGCAAACTGAAAGGGGGATGTACCCTGGGAAGCAAACCCCATTTAATAAAAACGTAACCTTTCCTGCCCCAATGTCTTTTCTGCCTCATTCGCCCTGCTCCATCTTCCAGCAATACCTGATAGGTTGCACCTTCTTCCCTTTCCAACCGCCCCCTTCCCTTAAAAAGAAAGTGAGTCAAAATAGACTTACCCAAAGCAAATAAACTTCCCACTCCAGCCCCCAGGAAAACCTTGGCGGGTCGAAATTCATCAGGCTGGCTATATAGGAACGTGAAGCAGAAACGGGGCAGCAAGAGGCCGAAGATGCATTTCAGAGCTGTGGGGAGACCAAAAGGATGAGAGCTGCACCTGCAGGTTTTCCCAAAATGCTATTCCAACTCTGTTAGCAATACTCTTTATCCCGGGGGTTGTCCTTGCATGGGAAGGGGCTAATCTGGCATAAAAGGGAAGACAAGACAATACATTGTTTTAATGTATTTTGTATTTGATGCTGTAAGCCGCCCCGAGACCTTGGCAAGGGGCGGCATAGAAATGTTTTAATAAATAAAATAAAATAAAAAGATGGACTATGAAATTTCATTCAATCCAACAACAACAACTCTTTCAGATGGATTGTTTTGCCAGCAGAAATTTGGGAATCCACACAGACTTGAGCTATTTTTGTTTTGTCTTTGCAAAGATGCGACATTGTTTGTGATAAAAGTAACTTTTTTTCAGGAAAATACCCAGCGAGATAATTTTATAGAAAGATTCTTTTTTGTTGAAAGATTATGTCTATTTATAAATTTTTGGAATAATCACTTGCAAGAGAATGTTCACTCAGAGGATAATTTTTCTCTACGCTGGAAACATCAGGTTTGTTTTTACTTTGTGGCCTTATTCCCTGAGGTTTGTCTACTCTAAATGTCTATTTTTTAAATATTTGTTCTACATTTTGTTTGTTCGCAATTATCCCAAAATGTAAAAAGGGAGGGGAAGAGGGCAAAAAGCAAGATAACAGTGAGGACGAGATAAGCATACCTGCTTGCAACACCATTAATTAAAAAAGAGGAAAACCCCTCCACTCTTCTATGTTAAATATTTAATTTAAATATTTAATTTGAGCAGTCTATATCACCCAAACCAATCTGACAATGGAATATAGCTTCAAATGCAGCAAGAGTCGTCAGACTGCTCAATGGCTGGACTGAAAACATTTCTGCTTCCAAGCTTGAAAACGAACGGTCCCCTTTTATGGTCATGCATTCATTCTCACTGCACAGGACTTTAATTCAGTCTTTAATTCATTAATTTTATATTGCTATTGTTAATTTTATATTGTTATTTTTGTATTTTATTGTATTTTATTGTGTTGTAAGCCGCCCCGAGGCTTCGGCAAGGGGCGGCATAGAAATGTTTTAATAATAATAATAATAATAATAATAATAATAATAATAATAATTATTATTATTATTATTATTATTATTATTTAAAAGTGCATCATTGCCCACAATTGTGAGAGATTTTTCAAGAGCCAAGTTCAAGCAGGCTGCATTTTTCAGGGCCACGTGGGCCAGAAGGCCAACCTCAGCATCTGGCAGAGCGAGACAACTTCTTCCGAACAAACTTCCGTAGGTTTCCGGGTACACCTTTTGTTGCTGAAAGTCTCAGTTTTAGATCCACAGAAATGGTGCCTGTCAAAGCGTTAAATTGATGGTAGAAGGCCATCCAACTCCCTGCTCTATTCTCTTCTCAAACAGGCTAGGATGTTTTTGCCCGGGAACGCTGGGAATTACAAGACTTTTCCGAAGCCTTGGGAATGCTGGAAGTCTGAGGACTTTTTTCTGGTTGTGAAGCACCCTGGGAGGGGAGCTGGTGTGGGGTCACCACCGAGAAGCACCCGCAACTCTGGACGGGGGGCCGACTGGAAGGGTCTTAGGGCAACCCGTGCGCACCCTTTTCCCTCTTGTCGATTTTGACTGTCCTCAGGGCTGGGGAGGGGGCACAGGAGGGTCAGCGGAGGCGCCACTTACTGGTGTTGGCGGGCTTTTGCCGTGGGCCCTTCTGCTTCTTCACTCTTCGATACTTCCCTTTGGATAGTTGGGGTCCCATGGCTGCTAATATCCCTGCTAAACAAATCGATAAACAGTGACTCTCTGAAAAGGAGTGTACCCCGTCCTTCATACTGAACACACGGCAGGGACGACAATAAAAATAAGAACTTGAACAAGACGCTTTCAAATTGTGTACCTTACCGGCGGGATCAATGAGAATAATTGTGTACCCTCCCCACCGTTGTAAAGCCTCAGTCTAGGCCCCTCCGGATACGTTGGACTACAACTCCCATAATCCTCAGCCAGCATGGCTAAGGCTCCCCCCCCCCCCCCCCCAAATCTGGCTCCCTCATGGAGTGTTGGATTACAACTCCCGTGAAGGCATCAGCTGCCTTTGGACCACAATCGCTCTTACGTGGCTCGGTGCCCAACTCACAGCTAAGCTCTGGTGACTTCGCCTTCACCTGGTTCCACCTCTGGGGCACCAAGGTGAAGCCTCGCTTGCATCAAAGAGGGGGCCGTCTTGCGTCCAGGTTCTACCACTGGCGTGGGCAGGTTCACCAGATGCAGCTCCTCAACAGAGCCGAAGTGCTACTCAATTCCCTGCACACAGAAAGCTAGCCTGTCAGGCACAACTCTCCCTGAGATGCTGGATTTCTACGTGCGGGGAGAGGGTGGAATTTTAATTTTTGCACAGAAGAACCTCCCGCCATCGGATGGCATTCCCCCCACAAGCAGCATCTCAAGTAGCACAGCCCAAAGATGAAAATTGTTCCATCACAAAAGGACCACGTTCTGCTTGCTTTGGAGAACACGCCATTCCAAGGCGCAGAAAAGTATGTTACTGGGCTTGGTCTCTTGTGCTGGGGGGGATTTGAGGAAACGCACTGCCTCTTCCCTCAGAAGTCCAGCTATTCTGGTGAGCTCAGTCTTGATTACATCACAGCAATCGAAATAATTCAAGGAGACTTAACAGGCATGTCGGAACAAAGCCATTTCCTTTCCAAAGCTAATCTGCAAAGGGCAGGGCAGTTTCCGGTACAAAAGCTGCCGATCGCCAATTTGGCATACATTGAGACCCCTGTACCAGGCAACCTGGTGCCCTCCAGCTGCTTTGGACTACTGCTCCCATCACCCGCAGCCAGCATAGCTCACAGCAAGGAACTATCGGAGCCGCAGCTCAAACTAAGGCTTGGAGCCGGGGGAGGTCAGCCCAAGTCAGGGCAGCGCAGCGAAACCAGGGGCGGAGCCAAGGAGGCGGCTGACAAGAACTAGTGAGGGATGGGAGGAGCCAGGGCAGGGGAGGCGGGGCCAGGGACAGAACCAGGACAGAACCCTTCCGGTTATGAGAGGGGCTGCGTAGAACCTGGGTTTTACTGGCCTTCCGCTTTCCGATAAATACTGGCTAGCGGCTCTCCACTGTGCCGCACCTGGGATTTCTTCGCGGCCGGCCGCCATCGCATACACACCTCGCTTCCGAGCCCAGTGGGGAGCGAGAGGGCAGAGGAACGGACGCCCAGGCTCCCTCCCGCTGGCCCAGCAGCCGATCAGAGGCCGCTCCTGCTCCGCCATGGGGCTTCTCTCCAGCCTTTCCCTCCAGCAGCTGACGGAGCTGCTGCAGAAGTCCCTGGGTCGCAAGAGGAGGAAGAGGAGGAGGAGGAAGTCGGGCGTCCCGCGAGTGGCCGAGGACACCATGGGCCGGGCCATGGCCCGCAGTGTGGGCGGGTTTGCCTTGGGCATGGCCCTCTCCGGCATCTACGGGGCGCTGGTCATTTTCGTGCAAGGTTACAACATCTGGTACTGTCTGACCACGACCATCATGCTGGCCGCGGGCCTTGGGCTCGGCATGGGCTTCTCCCGCAAAGTGAGGGTCACCGTCCTCCTCACGCTGCCCCAGATTTTCTCAAGTAAGTGAAAGGCCACGACGGCCAGTGTGGGCCCCGAAAACACCACTCCTGCCGGCCACGGGTATGTCCTGGAGGGCCCGCTTCCATCGCCCTGCCGGTCAGGCATGTGTTTGAAGAAACCAGACGCACCCTTGTCAGTCCGAGGGCCAAGTGCTGTTTCGGAGAAGCTCCTGAGGTTGCCCTACAGCAGGGCGTGTGACCCAAATCCAAATATCCGGGGCTGGTTTGCCGCGAGCTCTTAGTGCCCATCACACTAAGGGGAGGCCTTTTGGCCATTCTGAATGGGGAAAAGCCGGCCTGGAAGGCAAGAGACCACCTGCTGGTGCTCAGGGGATGGAGCGGGGGCTTTCTGGGGAGCCCAGTTTGGCCCCCAGGCTTCTCCCCTTTTGGAGCCCACAATCCTATATCCTGTCCTGCAGGGCTGCCTAAATAGGTGAGCCCCTTTCCTGGCCTTCCCCCTTTTCCTCCAGCCTCGGATCAGCAGTCGTTTCCCAGCATCTCTGTTTCTCCATCCTCTGCCCCTTGCAAAACCTTAAAATACCCCCCACCCACCCAGTTACAGGTGTTGGGAAAACTCAGCTAAATCCTGGCAGAAAAAGGGGTGCTGGTGTGTCTGTGTGTTATAAAATGCCTGCACCCCTTTGTCTCAGGAAGCACCCCAAAACAATTCCAAGCCAGGTTACTGCTGGGCATTTGCTGCTGGTTTAAGAAATGGGGGCTGAGAGGTTGCCCAGAAGCTGCCGGGCTCTTGTTCTGCCGGTCAGTAAGAACCGGTCAGGCTGCCGGGTTAACAGCATCGCAATCCCCCTCATTTGCACGCCGGGACCCACAATCCTCCTGCGATCCTTTTGCCGCTGTCCTGCGATCAAGTGCCGTTGCACGGAGCCCCCTCTGTGCACCCCTCCCCTCCTCCTCTGCTCCTCTTGCTTCGTTTATTTATGCAAAACGTTTATCTGCCGTCCCTCATGCATGGCATCTCAGGGCGGCTTGCAATCAATAGAACAACCGTCTCAATAGAATAAATAGCCAGAAAGTACAAGTGAAATAAAAAGCGACTGTTGGACATTAACATTCAATTTTAAAATAACAATTAAATAAAAAGGTTTGACCCGGCGCCGAAAAGAATATGAACTCGGCACCAGGCGAACCTCTCCGGGGAGCACATTCCCCCGTCTTGTCTTGTCATCGACTGCCCAACTGCCGGGCCCATGTGACTCAGGACCTATAAAACACTCTGTGTATGCTCTAACAGCTTGTCGTTGGCGGTGAGAAGCACTTCTTGGTAGCATGCTATCATAGGTAACTGCAGGGGGGGCGGGTGATCTTTCAATAAAACTGCTGCTGGGGCTCGAGGCGATTCATTCTCGCCATTGAGTAAAGAGGCCCTGGCACAAGCAAGCAGAAATATGCCGGCCCTTTGGGCCAGCCCCCCCGGGAAGGCGGCCCCCGAGGGCTCCTCGGGAACAGAATCCGGCCCCCGGAGGGGAAGCGTTCTGCACCCCCGTTCAAGAGGAACGGCACGGGCACAACGCCCCCACGCGCCTGACGTGCTGCCCTCGCCCTCTCCCCTTGCAGAGGAGGGCAAGACCATGATGCTGCTGCTGGCCTTCGGCCTGGCCATGGAGGGCCCCTTCGCCAACATCCTCCGGAACTTCAGCCGGGCCGCCGAGGCCGTGTCCTGCGGCGCGGAGCTCGCCCTGAACCAGACGGCGGACATGCTGCAACGGGCCCGCCAGCCCCTGATCAGTGAGCGCGCCGACTCCCCTCGCAGACGCTCGCTCGCGCCTGGGCTTTATCCCTGCTGGGCTGGGCTGGGCTGGGCTGGGCATGGGGGGGGCGGCTTCCCTTGTTCTCTCCGTATTCCCCTTCCTGACAATGAATTCCCCTGCCCCCAGGGAGACACACGGGGATTTTATTTTTATTCTGGGGTCCTCTGAAGTGCCTGATCTTGCCTGATCTTGGAAGCTAAGCAGGGTCAGGCCTGGTCAGAAATGGGATGGGTGACTTGAGTGCATGATGGTTTGATGATTGTTGTAAGCTGCCTGGCGAGCTTTGGCTGTGGGCAGTGTAAAAATGCAGCAGTATTAATCTGAGAGTCATCAGAGCTGTGGGCTAAGTTGAAAGACACCTCAGAAAGATCACAACAGCCAGGCAGGAGCAAATGAGAGATCCAGAGAGCCAAGCTAGAAATGCAACCAGGAGATCCTATTTCTTTTTCTTTTTTCTTTTTTTGTTTAAGAAGTCGGGCAAAGCCCAAAATTGGGGACCCGGGTGGCATTTTTTTCTCGGCTCAACAGGGAGGGAAAAGGCGCTTCCTGCCTGGACATCCGCATCTGCCGCTGGGGCAAGCAAGCCCCACCAGCTTCGCGGCTGGGACGCCCATTGAGGGCTTGGCAATGAGGTCCCTCTCCTTGTTCCGCCCAGACGTGCTGCAGAAGATCAAGGCGATTGCCCAGAAGGCCAAGGTGGTGGGCGACCGCGTGCGGAAGCTTTTCCGGTCTGTGATGGACTCCGTGCGCCACGTAGGTGAGCGCTGGAGGTTCAGGGGGGTGAGGAAGAGGAGGACTGGGAGAGGGTGCTCCTTTTGGTCCACTCTGGGGCATCCCTAGCAGCCCCCCCCCCCATGACCGGGGATGATGGACATCCCACAGAAAGGACCAGAAGCAAAGACAAAGGCCAGAGACAAGGGAGGTGAGACACCAGCAAGCCAAGTCAGGAATAAGCAAAGGTGGCGTACCTGGCAGGTGTGTGCTAGGACCAGAGGCAGGTACAGGCAGGAGGCGAGGCCCAGGTGAAGGCACTGCAGGACTGGAGACGAGTTCTGCAGAGCCAGCAAAAAGCAGCCGCACCCCAGAGGTTGCTGGGAAAAAGCCAGGCAGCTCTGGGGGGCGGCCTTTTCCAGCTGCTGTCCATCAGGGCCACGGCTCAGATCCTCGCAAGCACTCGAAGGCTCGGCCCCAGTCCTGCGAGGACTTGCCAGGTGAACCAGGCGGCTGCCTCAGACCAGCCACCAGGGGGAGCTGTGCACATCGCAGATCAGGCATAATTAACCGGAGCCAGTGCGGCCTAGTGGTGAGAGAGTTGGAGTGGGAATCGGGGAATCTAGGTTCGAGTCCCCACTCAGTCCAAGGGAGCACTGGCACTGACTTTGTGCCAGTCGCTGACTTTCAGCCTAGCCTACCTCACAAGGTCATTGTAGGATAAAAGGGAGAGGAGGAGGAGGAGAATGAAGATTGTGGAAGTCACCTTAAAGAAAAAAGGTAGGAAAGGAATCTCAATAGTTTAGTAATTGCTGGAGCTCAGTGCCACCTGATGTGGCTTGAGGACTAGTAGCTTAGAAGCCTTTGCAAGTGGATTAGATTAAAAATGCAGGAAAAGAAGATGAGGAAATCCTGGAGGTTCATCTCCTTTGCTGGAGATGCTGCAATTCAAACCTGGGACTATTTATGGGCTGAGCACATGCTCTGCTCCAGGTGGGTTTCTGAGGGGTGAAGGAGCCGTCCGTCGTCCTGGGCCAATTTTAGGAGCAGTTTCAGCATGCTGGACAGCTCCCTCAAAGCTCAGGCCTGGAGTGGCTACACCACCCCACTGATGTTGGCACGACCGGCATCTGGAGGGCTGAGGCTTGCCCGCTTTGTACCGCGAGGTTTCGGGATCAGTCTGAGCCCTGGTGCCTAGAGAGAGGCAAGAGGAAGCTCCCGGGCACACCTGGGGGGCGGTTCTCACAGGGGGTGCTCCTCTGGGACACCCAACCCACACGCCGCTCTTTCTCCCTCGCCCCCTTCCCACCCCGCAGCCCACTGCCTGCGCAACGTCTGGTACTGGCTCCTGAACATGGGCAAAATTTGCAACGAGGAGATGGGCACCCCCTACCGGAAGTGCGCCCGCATCTTCGAGAACGCCAAGGACGAGTGTCAGCGGGCCGTGCCCTTCCTGTACTTCCTCTGCCACATCGTGCTGCTGTTCAAATACCTCTGCGGCCTGGCGAACAGTGAGTGCAGACCGGGGACCCCAGCCCTTCGCAGCCCCGGTGGGCGTGCGGCAGCTTGTGCCGCGACACTCCCCCTCCCAAGATGGCCGTCGGGCGGCAGCTCCTGCGGTTGCTGCTGGGTCACGGCCTCCATATCCCCTGTTTTCCTCTTGCAAAGAACCTACGGCGGCCACCAGAGCACAACCACAACCCTGCGAGGGAGGCTGGCTGAGAGCGAGGACCGGCCCCTCGTCCCCCAGGGAGCTGAATGGGGAGAGAGGACTGGGACCCATGCCTCCCGAATCCCAGGCCAGCCCTAACCACTACACCACGCTGTGCCATCGACTCTGGATCCGGCCACACGCTGTTCAGGAACGATCTGCGGTGCTGAATCGCAGGCGGCTCCATGAGGGTCAAGGGGCCTGAACCGAGCCGCTGGTCCGAGCCCCGCTGGTTGTGCCGACGCTTTGCTTGGCCTCTGGACCCTGCCCCACGGAGCCTGATTCCCAGCCCCACTTCACTGTTCCTGCTCCGCCTGGCCCTGGACTCCTGACACCACCCAGTAACCCAGCCTCCCGCACCACCTGGAGCGACCCGAACCCTTCGGGGGCCCACGGATAGCACGAAGCTGCGCCTCCATTGCGAGCTTCCAGCAACCTCCCGTACTGGAGTCCAGCTGGAAGCGGCTGGGGGAGGCGCTGCAGGGAAAGGGATTGGGCTGGTGAGGGGGAAGAAGGGCCATTCAGGGATGGGGCTGCTGGGATCACGGGCACAGCTTGGCCAGCGCCACTGCCGGGCCTTGCATTTTGTCTGGCTTATCGTGGAAAATTGATGTTTCCTACCCTGATCCTAGCAAGGGTTGGGAAAACCAGCCTCTCCCGGAGGACTATCTGGAGCTACCAAACGGAGCTACACTTAAGGGCCTCTTTTCCCCGCAGTCCTGCTTGTCTTCTGCATAATTCCTCGGTACATCGTGCCCTTCCTGCGCCGGAAAGTAGCCCAGCGTGAGTACAGTAGATGACCGTGCCTCCCTCTTTAAACCGCCAAGACGTCTGCCCCAGGGGGCTGGTTCCTCCCAGAGAGGGCTGCCCACTTCCCCCCTTTCAGGCATCCTTCCAACCGATCCCTTTCCTCGGTCCCCTTTCGCCCTCCTGCTTCCTGGGTTGCTAAAAGCTGCCAAGGGCAAATCCCTCAAGATGTGACAGGTGCTTTATTCTCTAACTATTTTACCCTATAATAGTTAGATGCGATCTTTCATAAATTACTGGGACCCCAATAAAGCAGGAAAGTTAAAATCTTGGTTATATGCCATCGGCGACCCCCAGTGGCTGTCTGTTTGCTTCAGCAACCCGATTTAGAATGGGGAGGCTCTTTGGTCTTCACTGGGGTGCTGTGGGGCCCCAGACACCTCTGTGAGGGGGCATGAAATCTCCGTCCGCCCTCTACCCACCCCAGAGCAGCGTGTGACCTTCCCCGGGGCTCAGAAGGGGCTGAAGCTCGGTAGGAGAGCTTCCGGTTCGCACGCGGACAGATGCCCCCGCCTCCGGCGCAAAGGGCCGCCTCGCGCTCAGCCGCTGGGTCCGTCTCCCTTCCTGCTCCCCCCCCCGCCCCCAGCCATCGTGGCCGTCCTCAACCGGGTGCGTCGCGAGTTCGAATTCAACATCACCACCGTGCACAAGTACGAGGTGGCCATCAACGCGAGCAAGAGCCTGAACCAAGTCGCGTTCGACATCATGGAGGACATCTCTGCTCGGCTGCAGCCGGCCAAGGAAGCCGTGGGCCTTTTCGGATACATGTCCACCCTGCTCATTCTCTACGTCTACATCAAGTGAGTCAGCAAGGAGGAAAAGAAAGCTGGGGGGCCTCAGAGGACCCCAGGCGGATCCCCCCCTCCCCAGCTTTTCACTTGGTTAACTGCTCTGGCTTTTGGGCAGCATGAAAAAAAAGAAAGAAATACGGGGCGAGTGGAGAGGGTTTGGGTGGCCGTCCCGGGTGTGGGAATTATGGCAGCGGAAACACTGCCGTGTCCTCAGAGTGAGGAAATGGCCTCGCTCGGCTCCAACAGGGCTCTGCTCTACCGAAAGCGCTACTTGCACGAGGACAACTTCGACAACATCTACATCACCAAGGCGTTTTTGGAACTGGACGCGATGCGGAGGAAGAACAGGCGGCCCAGCGTCCTGCCGCTGTCTGCGAAAGAGAGCACCAAGTACATCCACCCAGGTAGGGCCGCACAGGTAGCCAGAGCTGGGTGGGAGGTTGTCACCTTTGCAGGTACCGTGTGAGAGGGCTTAGCCACCATGGGCTGGGGTCCACGGAGGGGCAGCTTGCTGCCGTCTCGGAGTCTCAGCCCTCGATCCTGCTGGTTCCTCCCAGTGTTCGCTAAGGCTAATGGGAGTTGTAGGCCGAATTATCTGCGGAGCCACTACTGGTCTCGTCACTGGAAGGTCTATCACAGTTCTATCACAGTGGAGTCCGTTTTCTGTTCTGGTTCTGGTCCTTACCTAAGAGAAATAATAACATCATGGGTGAGCTGGAGGCTGCTGGCCCCAAACCCCAGCCGTGTGGTGGTGAAGTGGAAATTACTTAGCTCTGCAGGCAAGATACTCTGTACATGGGCAGAGACACTTACTCCTGCTGATCAGCACTTACGAGCTGCTTTTCTACCTGCAGGTCTTCACCATTCTTCTCAAAAACAACCCACCACCCTCCCTGCACAGCACACAGACAATTCGACAACAATAGAATAAAAAGTTCATGTTATTTATTAATAGCTTTTCTATCCTGTCCACTACAGAACGTCTCGGGATGGCTTCCACAACTTGTACGAAGTTATGACAGCTTCGTAAGATCAAGCTGCTTCCCGTCTATGTTATCTGTTTTTGTCCCGGTGTCATATTTATGCTAAGAGCATCTCCTACTCAAAGCCTTCCTGTGTCTTCTCACTGACCCTTCTGTCTTTACCCGTACAATGGAAAAAGAGGCTGGTAGTAAGGGGAATGCACCCGCCCACTCCTCCTTAAGAGAAGGAGGGACTAGGATCCCTGTCCCTGAGATGCTAGCTTTCTGCCTGCAGGGATGCATTCGTTTATTGTCCATTCAGTGGAGAGAGGTCCCCCTAGGTGCAGGGCCAAGTGGTATGGCCCAGAGATCTCCCTGATCTCCAAACTGCCGCACGCACGCCATCAGCCACTGCGTCTTCTTGCGCAGCTTCGCTCGTGCTGCCCCGGAAAGAGCAATTCCGCTACGCCCTGGCGATCGCCTCCATCTGCCGCCAGCTGATCCTGGCCGTCCTGCTCATCGTCGCCGACTTCTCCGTCTTCTGGCTGTTCGACTTGGTGCGATTCCAGCTGCATGGGGAAATTGTAGCCAGAGGTAAGATGCGCCAGCGGGGCACGGAGGCACTGCAGGTTCTGGCTCGCAAGACAGAACCGTGCGGTCCGGGAGCTTCGGCCCCAGATCTTTCCAAGGCCTCACGCAGCCCCGTGGAGCAAGGCTGCCCCCTGCACTTGAGGGGCCTTTGGCCCGCTGCGGGGTTCTGGAGACTACTGGGATCCCTGCTTTAAGGCCCGATCGATTCCCGAGGCTCACAAGAGCATCTGTTCACGGTGTGGGGTCCGAGTGCCAGACCAGAGGGGGCTTGGCTTTGATTCCAGAGGGGTCTCCCAGCATCCTTTAAAAGTGCTGGTGACACAGCGGGGTGAGCCAGTCTCCTCTGCCCCGCAGCCCCGATGACGATGAGCGTCAGTGTAAGCGGAAAGGGCTACATGGGAGAGATGTACCGGGACCTGGCCTCCTCCTTCGATGTGCTGCAGCGCGGGAACGTCAGTGTGCTCTCCCCGAAGTGTCGCTTGCGCCCTGCGGAGCCGGATTATAATGGCTACGTAGCCATCGGTACGACGGGCAAGTCGCTAGGATCTTAAAAGTTGGGGGGCCAGCCTCCTGCTTGCACCCCATAGAGCAGAAATCTGCACCTCGAAGACAGAGGCATGTAGGAATCAATTTTAGGAGTCATCAGACTTGCACAGGGAGCAAAGACAGCCAAATAATCCGCCCCACTCAACCCACACAAAGGAAAAGGGACCTGCACCTCACTCCAAAATCATTCTAAAACCATATTATTATTCATTTATCTAAAACTTTTATATCCCATCCGCTACCGGGGGTCTTGGGACAGTCTTACAAAAGCAAAATATTGCACAGCAACGGTTATAATGGAAATGCAGTGGTTGTGAAGTGGTGTGAAACACACACAAAAAGAAGACTAGTTGGTTTTTCCATAAATAAAATAAAATTAAAATTAAAATGTTTTAATAAATAATAAATAAAATAAATAATCCCCCCACCCTTGCTTGCAAGCACACACACAGATCCTGCAACTAAGATTAGGAAAAAGGCTTCCGCTCTGGTGGAAAGTTTTGGGGCTGGGAGGCTTTGGGGGTGCAGCTCATGATGCCCCATTGGTAACTGGCCATTGGGAGTTGTCTTTCCCCATCCTATAAAGCGGCCCTCCTGGCCCCCCAAAATGGTGGGGAAACTTTGCTTGGTTTCACCCAGTCCTGTAGTTTGCATTTCCTATACAGAAACTCCTGCAAATTCCCACATGAACGTGATTTTGTGTGTGTGGGAAGTAACCGTCCGATTTCCATGGTTGTGTCTAAAGGAATTCTAATACTCTTTTTTAAAAATGTGCTTGCAGTTCCCACAGGGACCACAAGGCGGCGGTCTTGCATAAGATACCTTTGCTAACCGGCGAGGTAGTGGGAAATACTTGCACCAAGGCCCCTTGGTGTTTGCCTGCTCATAGGGTATCTTGCCCCACTTCACATAATGCAGTGTACACTGCGGCCGAAAATGCTGCTTTCAGGGAGATGAGACAACCTTCTGTGCTTCCTCGAGCACCCTAATCCTAACCCTAGTCCAAGCCCCTACTTAGTGCATGCCCAGCAATAAAGGAGGTGGTCCGACCTTGAAAATTTATTTATGGGAGAATGTTTCCCCAGATGTTTCCCCGAAATCTACTCCTTGTAATGGGTGCCCCTTGGTTCTCCAAAGCAGCGAAGAGCAGGCCTGCCTCGTCCTTTTGATCCACCTTTCTCCAGAAACTTTCCCAGCTGCTCCTAGTTTCTGACTTTCCCTTTCTTTCCCCCCACGCCCTTCCAGGCCTCTTGTATGGTCTTTGCTTTTTCAGCGCCATCTTCGGCACGTACATACAGCGCCTGAGACGGGCAGTGTGTGCCTGGTACTATCCCTCCCGGGAACGGGTGAGTTACTGCCATGCCGCCCCGAGGCTTCGGCGAATGGGGCGGCATAGAAGTTTCCTAAATAAATAAATAAATAAATGCCTCCCTGTGCCCCTTGCGCACACACACACACGCACACGCACGCACACACATACACCCCTCCTGCTCTGGAAGACGTTTTCCCCAAGCCTCAGAGGTTCACTAGCCTAGTTTAGATTCTTATCCTTTTCACCTCCGTTGCAACTTGCAACTGAGCTCACTGACTCGAGCCAGCTATTGTGCACTTGTGATCAGCAGGGCAGCTAACGCTGACCCTCGGTGCCAAAGGCCAGGTCTCTGCAAGCCGTCAATGACCAGCCCAAAAGTGGCAAGTAACAAGCACATCAAAGTACCAGAAGCCCACCCCATTGGATTTCTCTCATCCTGATGTTTTCAGAGAGTTTGAAATGCACGTGCATGCAAGACAGCTGTTTGTTTAAAAAAAAGAAAGGCTCAGCTAAAACTGGTGTGGTTGTTATAAAACGGGGATGACATTTTGGCCTTGCCCCTTTTCCCTGTGGCCCTGAGAGATTCTCCAAAATCACATTTAGCCCTCGGGCTGAACAAGGTTCTGCCCCCTGGTTCAGAGGGCCCTAGTCCAGAAAGCTAACCCAAACCCTGACCAGACCCAGCCTGCTTTTTTCTGCACCTTGCCTTGGATCTGGCTTTAATTTAGTGAGTAGATCCACTGAAATCCTTGGGACATCAGACTGCCATAACCGTTTGTTTATTTATTATCTCTTTCGCCTGCCCATCAGCCCAAGGGGTCCCTGGAGAAGCAAGATCCGACATCGGTAGCCATCGTCTCTCAGCAAGCCTCTCTTTAGACAAAAGCAGCAGCTAACCGCTTGCCTCCCTTTTACTCCATTCCCTGGGAAGCTTCTCCCTCTCATCCGCCTTTCTCTGCATCCGGCAGGAGCGGATTTGCTACCGCTACAACACCATCCTGACCCGACGGAATGGGCTGGCGAGAGCCGTGCTTCAGGCCGTAAGGGAACGATCGGCAGACGGAGGACGCACCAGTATCTTACTGGTCCTTGCAGCGAAGTAAGCCCCGCGGCAGACTAATCTAATCTCCGTCTTACTGGATTGACTTGTTCCTTGTTCCTTTTTTCTGGAATCCAAAGAGGTTTGGCCCAATGCAGGAATGTATACTTATGACGAAAGAATGCCCGGCCTTGGAATGCGTTCTGAAGACCAGAACAGAAGAGATGTCTGTGAGCCGCCCCGAGGCTTTGGCGAATGGGGTGGCACAGAAGTTTACTAAATAAATAAAATAATAAGAGAACTTTGCACACCAAAATCAGATCCTGGTGGTGGAGCTGTAATTTCAGCAGGACAATTTTAGGGCGGGCAAGTCATTTTGTCATCGCTGTACTTAAGCAGACAGGAGCCTGAAACTCTTTCTAGCGGCTCCTTTTGATGTTCCTTGTATTAAAAAGCAAAACAGAGCGTAAGCTTCCTCAGAGTTCATTTGATCAAAAAGTAGTGGGGGGTGTTTACTAACCCTAAATAAACTAGTAAATAAATATTTGCAGCCCAAAGGGCTACAAACTTGTTTCTGAAATACAAATACACACGTGTGCACGCATGAGAAAGGAAGTTTGCCAGAACATCTTAGGAACCAGTGGTCAGAGTGCTGGAATGAGGCCTTGGGAGAGCTTGATTCTAGTCCCCGCTCAGCTTGAAATTCACTTAGCTGGCTTTAGGAGAATCACAAATTCTCAGCGTAACCTACCTCCCAGGGTTGTTGTGAAGAGAAAAGGGAGAGGAGGCATAAATAAGCCATTTTGGGTTCGCTGCAGGAAAAAGGCAGGATCTAAATAAACATTTTCAGTAAAGAGTTCGTATGGTGTAGTGGTTAAGCACACGCAACTTCGGCTCAGGCGATCTGGGTTCGAGTCCCCGCTCAGCCATGGGCGACTTGGGGCCAGTCACAGGCTCCCAGCTCAACCTGCCTCATCCGAAAGATTTTGCGAGCTGCTCCGAGCTCCTCGCAAGAGGAAAAACGGCGGGACATAAACATGCCACCCTAATGCAGAGTGGTCATAATTCAGTTCTGCGCTTCCTTCGAAGCTCAGCAAGTCCACACGCCGCTCTTCTGGCTTCCTTTGCAGGTTGCGTCCATGTGCCTGGCTGGTTAAGAAGCTGGGCGTACATGAGTCCTACTGCATGGGTTGCGGAAGGATCCGGGACGGCACGGCCAGCGAAGGCTTTGTCACTTGCATCACCCCGGGATGCCGAGGTGGGAAGCCAGGACAGGCGTGGGCAGTGCAGACGGGAGATTTGGCTGGGATAGGTAAAGGTGAGCTCCACAGAGGGGCTTCCCATGGCGTCCACGCAGCTTCCGCACCTTCCTCGCTTCAAAACTTTCTTGCAATACATTTAAAGAAAGGGATTGCTTCTATTTGCAACGCTCAGTTTCGACATTTTGGGAAAGGCTCAGAGTTTGCAGTCCCTTCTGAAAGACAGGGATGCAAAGGGGAGCCGTTCTGCTCAAGTTCGTCTCAGGGATGGCCGAAAATGCCCCTCTGCTCATATTTTAACGTGGATGGACTCCTTTCACGTTTCCAAATCGTACTTCAAATGGGAAAACGCTCAGGCTTCAAAATCCAGGCTTCTTTAAATTTTGCAGTGGAGTTGTCCTGTGCATGCATGTGGTAGGGGGAAAGCAATACTCCAAAGCTTGTCGAATAGACAGATGGTTTGCCGAAATGCAGGAAGCGTATATTTGGCAAAAAGGCATACAAAAATACATCTGTTAAGAGATGTGCACGAAAATGTTGGCCATTTTCATGTGATTTTTGAAGAAAATGCTCGGTTTGGGAGAAATCCAACTTTAGGGAGCCAGAACGTCAAGACAAAACAGCTTTAGGATTGAAAAAAATGAGAAACTGAAAGAGGATGTTTTGTCGGCCCTGGTGTGTCTGTTCTTTCTCTCCTCCTCAGGTATCTACTGCCCTGAGTGTTACAAACTCCTGAAAAATACCTGTTCTATCTGCATGGCTCCTCTCACTTACCAGGGAGAGATGGATGAAGAGATGTGAGCAAGCAACTTGCAAATGCTTGAGTTACTTTCAGTGCAGGGGGTACATGGGTACAATTACTGCTGGGAGTAATATTTTTGCAGGGGATACATGGGTACAAATACTGCTGGGAGTAATATTTTTGCAGGGGGTACATGGGTACAATTACTGCTGGGAGCAATATTTTTGTGGGGGGGACATGGGTACAAATATCCCCCCTCTCCCCAGGTCTCTAGCAGGTGTTCAACAACTAAGTGCCCCTGGCATTTTTGTTGGTGTCTGGCAAGGAATCGCATCCCTTCCACTGTATTTTTTAAAAATGGCTGGAACTGTAGAGAAATATGTCAGAAACAGCAGGTTCAAAGGAAAAACTTAACACGTTGGGGCACAGACCCCACCTCTGCCTGGCGCTCAGGTTTTGGGGTGAGTGACCCATGCTCTGGAGCGGGCCACTTGGTGGCGGCACCCAGGGATTTCTCAGGCGGCCACATGGGTCCACAGGTCCCCGAGGACTGCCTCCTTCTGCAGCAGTGCGTGACTGGGTGGGAAACGGGGGCAGCTTTAATCGAGACCCGGCCCTTGAATGCAGCCCTCGCATATTTTGCTGTTTGAGGAGGAGGACGAGGCTGTAACCCGCCCCTGTTCATACCACGCCGATGTTGCCTGAAGCGGCTGGTGCATTACAGTTCTGCACAGGCCAACTATTTGGGGTGGCAGCTCCCAGCAGCCCCAGCCAGCGTGGCCAAGGTCTGGGGATGCTGGGAACTGCAGTCCGAAAGAGACTGCGGCTCGAGAAAGGATGCTTCGAGGGGTCGGTCCTTCTCCAGCCGCGTCCTCTGCCGGTCCAGGGATTCCAGCGACGAAGAGGCCATGGCGCTGTGGACCAGGGCCGTGAGGGCGCTCCGTGGGGTGCCGGACAAGGAACGACAGAGGCGGCGGCAGTTGCTGAAGGCTCGGATCGCACGGGCCGTGAAGGGACAGGGGGGCTGCCGCCGCTTACCCCCCGAGCTGGCCAAGAAGATCTTAGCCGAGCTGAAGCAAGACGAGGACAGTGAGGACGCATCCTCCAGCTCAGAAGAAGGCAGCTCCTCCTCTTCCTCCTCGTCTCCATCCAGGTGAGAAAAGAGGAAGCACTCTTAGCACATAAGCCTAGCCAACTTAGAAACATAGAAATAGAGCAAGCCGGAAGGGTCCTCCTGGGCCATCTAGTCTGACCCCAGCTCCAGCTACCATGTGCATGTCCAGAAACCCTAATGTTAAAAAGAGCCCATCATTCTGGGACTAAACCTCATCCCAAAAGCCATGCCGTTGGGCACAAAAGACTTCTGGGGCGACTCCAGAGCGGGTGTTTATTATTTCGATTCATATCCTGCCTTTTTCCTACAAAGGGCTCAAGGCAGCTTACATCATGCTCTCAATAGTATCCCCAAAACAACAACCTTGTGAGGTAGGTTGGGCTGAGAGGCTGTGACTGGCCCGAAGTCACCCAGCTGGCTCCATGGCCGAGTGGGGACTCGAACCCGGATCGCCTGCGTCCCAGGCTCTGAACCACGCCGCCACACTGGCTCTTCCGTTTATTGTCCCATCCGCCCGCTGAATCCCTGGGACTTCGAATCGTCTCCATCTTCTCCGTGGAGCCTCTCTCTGGTGTGTCGCACGGCTGCTTCTGCCCCCTTTTTGAATTAACAGTGGGGAATCGGTTAGCCGTCTAGGACTCCCCACAACCTCCAGGATGTCCTAGCAGTCTCTCTCCAGGGCTCAAAGGCTGGGCCTGCCTTCCCTCCCTGGCTGCCCCCTGCCCTGGAGTCTGAAGTGGGCCTTGAAGGGGGGCCTGGGGGGCCGCCCACGGCTCCAGGGGAGAACAGGAAAGCCTTCTGGGCACCGCGCTGACGTAATGTGAGACTGGGAACCGCTTTCTGGATCGAACGGCTGGAACCTTTGTCCCGTTGATCCCAGCAGCAGCCCCCGTGTTCAAGGGGAACATCTCCTTTTCACTGGAGCCCCCCCCCCCCAGCAATGCTTAAGCCCTTTAGGATCAAGCCCAGACATCCAGAGTGTGTCCATTCACACCACAGGCTTACAACCAATCCTAGCCCTCATTTCAGCAAATTTTGACAGCCATTCACACACGGGGGAAGAAGTGGCAGACGTCTCCAGCAAAAGGACTTACTCAGCCAGCCTCGTGGTTTCTGAGATTTCAGCAGGGGTTTCCCACACCCTTCAACTGCAAGTTTATCTTGCCTCGATGAGGACTAGGAACTTGGAAGCGGTTGGTTATTGCTCAGTGAAATCTAAAACCGGGCTGTAGGCTGGTCTCTGATGCCAAGCCTTAGTTGACGCCTGATGTTGGTGGACTACCATACCTATAAACACTAAGGCTGATGGGAGTTGGAGCCCGGCAGCAAATTCACCACCCCTGCCCTCCAGATAGCACTGGAGTGCTGGAAAGAGCCTGTATCACAAGCAAACTGTCTTTGGATGGTCTGCGAGGTCTCCAACTTTGGGTTTTGACAATGTCTGCACACTTTTCTGGATAAATTCAGCTGCGTTGGAGCGTATTTGTTTCCCCCACTCTATCTTTTCTTCATTAAGCCTCTGTGGGTTGTTCTACGTGTGATGTTGATCTGATATTTCTTTTAAAGATCATTCTGCTGCAATGGGGTGTGGGAAGCTGCCCAAGTGCTCCAGATGGGCCAGAAAAGAGCAGGTCATGGAATGATTAAAGTCCAGTCCATTCTCTCCTTTCATCCTACCTTCTTCCACAGCCTGGATTTTAGTTACCAGAAGGAAGCAGAAAGCAGTAGCAGTGGAGAGTTTTCGGAGGTGAAAAGCAGTAACCCTAAGAAGTAGGGTGAGAACTCCCCACATCCAAAGTGCGTGTAAATATTACATGATTAAACTATTAGATATTGCAAAATATGCATTTACAGGAATTCCCTCCTCCTTTCATTGGAAGCTGTACCCAAAGGCAATCGGCCTGCTCATTTCGCCGGAGGCAAGAGGTCGGTTTGCGCCATCGAGGCGACGCTTAACTTCTCGGCAGTGTTATTCCTTCATGCCCCTAAAGGGTTACACAAGCTTGCAAGAGAGCCGGAGATGGTGCATTTGAGGTCTGTGGCTGCCTCCTGCTGTTCGAAACCCCGTTAGCAATTTGCTTTGCAGACACAAGATCAGAGACTCCAGTTAAATAACTCCAAAATGGAGATTCTTTAGGGCAGCCTTTGCCAGCATGGCATCCATACCCCCCCCTCCACCCCGGGCCAGACTTTTGGATGACAACTCCCACCAGCCCTGGCCAGTGAAACAGAGGGGTTGGAATGCTGGGAACTGTGGTCCAAAAAATCAGGAGGCGCCCACAGCAAGGGGTGCTGGAGAGCCCCAGGTCCATTGCGTGCTTGTGCAAGTACACACGACCTCCAGCCACGCTTGTTCACGAAGGAAATGCACGCGTTGCATCGACGGGCTGAAGAATCCCTGCTTTTCATTTTATTGTCAAGCAGCTGGTGATGAACAACAGGCAACTGCAATTCCGGCACACTAATTAAAAAAAACAACAACCCGACATGGGGTCCCCCTCCATCTCTCCCCACCATTTCAGTGTGGTCGATACCACTTCCCATTTAAACAAGGGGAAAGGGATGACTTCTCATTGGACACGGACATTTCTGGATCCTCGTTGATCATCAAATCACTGTGAAATGGGGAAAGTACGGGGGGGGGGGAGCTTTGACAGGGGGAAGGCAAGGCGAAAAGTAACCATGGCCAGGGCCAAACACGGGAAGGCGAATGGGGAGAAAGTTTGTGGGGGGAAAAAACCCAAGCTATTATGCATTTCAAGTAGCTAAAGATTCAAGTTTAAACATTACAGGCACTTTTAAAGCTAAGGAATACCTAACTGCCCCCCATACCTCCTGCCCTCCACTCTTTTCTGGATGGGCGACCCCACACCACAGTTCCTGCTGCGGGGGATTTGGGACTGGGTGTGGTGGAAGGGAACAGAGGGTGGGGGGAAATTATATTACACCATCTCTTAAATATAGATAAACTCTGAACTAATACATCTCTGCCCTCACCAGCCATCACTCCGTCCTCCTGCCCCCCTATTTTGCCCCTCCAGAGGGGTGCAAGTGCAGGGGAGCCCCGAGAATGTGCAAAGAGGGCTGGAGAAGCCCCTCCCCCCGACTAGTCATACCCTAGTGCAATGGAGTGGTCTGGGGGGGCGGAAGGGGGCGGTTCATGTGACGCGATCCAAGCTAGTGAAACAGGGCCGGGGGTGGGGGGGGGGCACTTTTTGCCCGGGGGTGTTTTTTGGCATGGCATAAAATCTCCAGGCTGCGCAAACGGGCCACTCCCCCCCCCGCACCCCTAAGTGCTAAATACATCGATGTCTCTCGCAAAGTGGGGGTGGGGGGTGTGCAAGAGTCCGCGTGCACAACAGAAAGAGGGAGCCTTGAAGAGGAGAGCACGGCAGACCCCCCCCCCCAATTCGGCGGCCTCCCTCCCTTGCCCTGATGGTGCTCGGGAGGGGAGGGGAGGGGAGGGGAGGGGGAGCGCCACGGGTGCTGGGACCAGCCCGCTGCACTGTGCAAGGAAGCCACTAGGGGGCGGCAAGGGCGCAGCACGTGGCCCGCGTGTGCAAAACAAGCGCCCGGCTCGGCGACCTCGTCTGGCCGGCCGGGTGGGAGGAAGCCCTGCCGAGGCGGGAGACCCCCGAGGCCTCCCGATCCTCCCGGAAGGTCATCGACCTCACTGCTTTTTGCACCGGGGGGGGCAGCTTCCCCCCCCGCACTCTCCCACTATATCCCTCCACAGCGTGGGGGACAGAGCCATATGCAGAGTGTGGGCGCCCCCTCCGCCCCGATTATAGTCCTTTTGCATTACTGGAGCGGTGGGGGGGGCGCAAGACCCCCGACAGGCTCTATGGGATGGTGCACTTGGGAAACCTGAGCAAGGCGCCCCGCCCTCCTGCTTTGGTTCATAACGGAGCTCCCTGTGTGCAGAGGCTGCGCAAGGCACGGAGGCAGCGCACTGGGGCGCAGCGGGGCGGGTGCGCGGCTGCTCCCTCCAGCCGCAGCATGGCGAGCGGGGCGGGGATTAGTGCATCGGGGCCTGGCCCGCGGGAGCCCCGCCACCCCGCCGCGGCGGCCGGGGGCAGTCCGAGCAGGCCGGCCCTACGCCGCCCCCATCGCCAGCGGGCCGTCGCTCTCGGCCAGCCCCTCGTCCGCGGCCTCCTCCTCCTCCTCGTCCTCCCGGGAGGCCGGGGAGAGGCCGCGGTGCGCACGGGGCTGCTCCCAGCAGCGGCGCGGGAGCGGGAGGTGCAGCCCCGCCGCTTGCCCGTTGGGCAGGCCGGCCTCGGGCGCGGGCGGCGGGGTCTCGGCGCGGGGCAGGGCGTCGGGGTCGAGCTCGGGCCCGCGGCGCCGGCGCCGGGTGCGCACCTCCAGGCAGTTCTGGCCCTTGAGGTGGCGCTGCAGGTGGTCGTCCTTGGCGAAGGCCTTGTGGCAGAGGCAGCACTCGTAGGGCCGCGCGCCCGTGTGCAGGTGCAGGTGGTTCTTCAGGTCGTAGCTGTGCAGGAAGCGCGCCGTGCAGTGCGGGCAGGAGTAGGGGCGCTCGCCTGTGTGCTTGCGCATGTGGATCTTCAGCTTGTCGTTCCTGCCGAAGGAAGGAAGGAAGGAAGGAAGGAAGGAAGGAAGGAAGCAGAGATGCCCGTAAGCCAAGCCGTTCCAACCTGAGTTTCAAACAAGCTGCTAGTCCTCGTGAGGGCCGCACAAAAAAGTGAAGGCGGGACCAACATAGAGCAAGGAAGTCTCAGGACCCAAAGAATAGGGGGAGGTTCATTACTGTTACTAATAAAAATACTCTGATATTGTGTTAATCATGGTTAGTTGCTTCAGAAGTCCGAAGCAGCGGTGCACAAAGAAAAAGCGTGAACAGCAGCCCTGTTGTGAATTCACTGTGCATCCCCCTTGGGGTCACACGGGTCTCACTGGCATCGGCACAAGGCATCTCTGCTCTGCTCTGCTCCTCTGCATGCTCCTGACTTGCTTAAAAAGGCATCTGTGAGGACTTTGCACCCAAGTCCAGTCACCAGTCCTGCCAATAGCTTTCCAGCATCTTTTCTACTCTCTTGTGACGCAATTCCTTCATCCAGAGGGGCCAGAATCAAATCTGGGGAGCCGAGAACGTGCTCCACCAGCGAAACACGGTCCCCCCCCATCTCCAATCGGCAGCCTTTGCCACGCGCCGTTTCCCACTTCTCGCCCCGCCTGTGGTATGGGCACCCAAAGCATTTCCTTGACCTCACGAAGCACCGGCTCCCATGAGCCACGGCAGCCAGTGGGGGGCAGAGGGAAGCGTCCCGAGCCCAGGCACTTACCGTGTGAAGCGGACGCCGCACACCTCGCAAGCGAAGGGCTTCTCGCCCGTGTGGGTGCGCATGTGACGCGGGAGCTTCCCGGCGCCGTGGATGACCTTGTGGCAGACGGGGCACTCCTGCGGCATCTGGGAGCGGCGCTTGCGCACCAGCTTGTCCGGCGGGTCGAGAGCCGGGGAGAGCCCCTCGGGGTTCAGAGCCCGCATGTAGGACAGGATGTCGGGCTCGGGGCGCTCCTCGTCCGAGGCGGGGTCTTCCGGGGAGAGGCCCAGGGCGTAGGGGTAGTGGAAGGGGCGAGACGGCACGAGGATGCTCTCGTCCTCGTGGGGGTGGCTGAGGGCCGGGGCGGGCGAGGCCTGGCCGGGGGGGCTGGGGCGCTCCTGGGTCCCCGTCGAGGAGGGGGACAGCGAGGGGGACAGCTCGGCGACGTGGTTGTTGAGCCGCGAGCCCTTCGCCTGGAGGAACCTGCGGGTCTTCTTGCTGCGCCGGGGCACCGGGCAGGCCGGCGGCTCCGGCAGGTCTCCCTCGGCGGCAGGCAGGGAGGCGAAGGCCTCCAGGTAGCGCCGGGCACGCTCGCGGGCCGCGTCGTCGGGGACCGGCGCCTCCTGCCCGTTGCCCTGCATGATCTCCACGCAGGCCGCGATGACACAGGGGATCTCCAGCAGGCGGGCGGCCCGGAGCACGTCCACCAGGCTGCTGGCACTGATGGTCAAGGTGGCGGTGTAGGCGAAGTCCAGCAGGGCGCCCAGGGCCTCGGCGCCCACGAAGTCCAGCTCGCACACGCCCAGGCCGGGCCCGGCAAAGAGCCGCTGGAAGTAGCGGCTGGAGGCCGCCAGCACGGCCCGGTGAGTCCGGTACTCCAGGCCCTGGGCCCGCAGAGTCACGTCGCAGAGCACGCCTCGGCGGCGCTGCTCGTTCAGCCGCTCGAGCAGCTCGCTGCTGTGCTCGGGGAACGGGATCCCAATGAGGTCGTCTTCGGGGCTACCCATTGCTTCACCTGCAGGAGGAGGCATAAGGAAGGGCAGAAAGTAAACACTCGGCGTGCCCAGCTGGGTTCGCTTCCAGGAAAGGGCGCCAAGGACAGCAGAGAGAGACAGAAAGGGGCCTTGTCGATGCGAAAGAGGGAACCGAAACAGAAGAGTCGGCCCGGGAAATACTGGACTACTGAGGTCCTCGAGCCACGATCGAAAGCCCGGTTCTGGTGAAGTCACGCTGGCCAAATCCACTCCGGAGAGGGAACCGGGGACTCGTGGCTTAAGGGGACAAAGTTGCTGGCGCTCTATTGTGCCAGCCAAACAAACCAGGAAGGGCTCATCGGAATGGTCACCTTAAGCAAGCATTTTGGCTTCTCGTGCCCAAATAGGCCATGAATCATAAACCAAGAACAGTCCCTGGATTTCCATTCTGACTTGGAAGGGATGGGATAAACCAGGGTGCCTGGGTTGTGCAACATGGCATTTATTTACTTAAAACGTTACTTTTCTAACTTTGCCATGGAACGCAGACCGTTTCTTTCCCTACAAAGCAGGTGTAGGAAATGCTACTATGGGATACCAAGATACCAAGATTCGCCGAGGCTTCGGCGAATGGGGCGGCGTAAAAATGTTTTAATAATAATAAAATAAAAAAAGATCAAAACCTCTGGTGCATGTTTGCATACAAAGCCAGCTATCAGTCCGAAAGGAAGGGCAGCTTTACTTAAGGTTGGTATTTGTCAATGCAGGCTTGCCCCTGGAGGCCACAACGACCTTGTAAGGTAGGATGGCATTCTGCACTGCACAGGCGGGGTGAGGCCAAGAGAACGCCGCTCCCGGGGTGTGGGTGGAGTTCGCAAGCTAGGCCTCCTTAGCGCAAAGCTCCCCCCCCCGGCCCCGTGGTAGCACCCATCCTGCCCGCTTTGCGTCTCAATTGGGCCTCCTGCAGGGAAACTGGCAGGGCACCAAAGCGACTCCACAGAAAAGGAAACACGCAGGCGCGCAGAACAAAGCACCTTCGGCTCGGTGCAAAAGGAAGTCCTCTCGCCCCCAGACGGCATGAAGCAGATCATGGGCCCGATACCGGCTCGGTTGGGGCAGATTCCTAGGAAAGATACGGTCGCTCCCCTCTCGCCGCCCACAGCCTTTCGTCCCGCAAGGCTGCGGGGGGAGGAAACCTGAGCATCTGCAAGCCGCACCCCCTGCAGCCCTCCAGGCACGGCACCCCAAGATGGGAGGCAAACTCCAGCGGGGCTGCAGGGCCTTCTGCAGGCCGACGTTCTGCCAGCAGAGCTGCTGTCCCGGCGCACGTTTCCGCCCGTCAGGAGGCGCTCCACCTTCCTCGGCTGCACCTGGGCAGGAGAACCAGGCCGGGAAGCGCAGGCTGTGTGAAGACAGCGGCTGCCCAGTGTCTCGGGTGAGCAAAGCGGGTCGCCCCCGCCCAAACGATGCTCACCTCCCCAGCGCGTAAAAGCAGGGCTGGGCCGCTTCTGGGCCCCCCGCTGATGTGCCTCCAGCTCCCATGATCCTTCTGCACAGGCCACCTGGCTGTGGCTGATGGGAGCTGCAGGCAAAGCATCCGGGGAACACCAGTGGCCCGATCTGGTATGTAGCCACCCTCTGGGAGAGGGTGCCAGGAAGGGGGCAGATTCTTCCTCCCAAGCCAGCGCGCGCGTGCGCGCACACACACACACACACACACACACACACACACAACACCTTCAATCCAGTGGGAGGAAAAATCTGAGCTCATGCCCCGTTCAGTCAGAAAGACACAGACGGTCAAAGAATCAGCAAGAGAGACGGGGCGCTGAAGTGGTGCGCCAGCCAGGTGCTAGGCCAGGAAAGGCAGGTCTCCAAGCCGGGAAGGACTGAGGAGCGGGGAGACTGTCCCGACCGGTTGCCAGCTTCCCAGACCCCCTGTGCTGCTATGCCCAAAGCTGAAGGTTTGAGCTGCAGCAATGCCCAGGGAGTTGTTTGCTTTTAATTGCATGCTCTAAGAAATGCGTGCATGTTGATTCCTCGACCTCAGACACCTTGTTTGAGGGTGCAGGATCAGGCCAGGCTGGGGGGTTCTGAAGCACGTGGCCACCAACTCCAGAGCGAATGACTTGTGTAACTGTGCTCACGAGGCAAAGAAAGTGGGTCTCATCTGTTGCCCAATTGGGGCTGGGGGGAGGGAGAGGCTGTGTTTATACGGTTAGATGGGACTCGGTCTATGCTCTGGGGTGCTCTTTTCCATGTCTCCAGTAAACACCGCACCGATGAAGAGGTCCTACCAAGCGGATGTAGGGTCAGGTCCAAATCCCCCGCCCCCCGGCTGCCAGGAATAGCCTCTGTGCACCTGGCTCTTCGCACCCCTGCCGCCGGCTTTCCTGCCCACCTTTAGCCCAGAAAATGTGGGTGCCAGTGGGAACGGCCATCAGGGAGGGGCTGGCTGGGGTGGGGAGAGCGTCCCAGCATGCCCCTTCTCGCCCGGGGAAGTGGGAGAGGGCTGCATGGCCGCTCCCTGCCCGCCTTGGGTGCCCGCCAGCTGGGCTGTTTGCCTTCACGGGGCAGGGGTGGGAAAGATGCGGGGGCAGCCGCTCCCCTCTCTGCCAAGCAGGACCGACCGGCCGGGCGAGGGGGGGGGAGGCTGCCAGGCGCGGCTGCAAGCCGAGCACCCTGACCCAGGAGGAGGGTGCGGCTGCGTCACGGCATCGCCCTCCGGGCTGGGGATGCCAGAGCAGGCACGGCCCCTGTGGCTGGGAGTCGGGGGACTCGCCCGAGAGGAGTCGGCGGCTTGCACCCAGGGAGGGGCACAGGGCAAGATGCCCACGCCAGGCCTTGCCCAGGCGGCTCCCTGCCTGCTAGTCCCAAGCGGCCTGCCTCCAGCGTCGGCACGGGCCTTCTCCGTGGCTGGCCCTCCCCTCGCCGGGTGCCCACGACTCTCCTTTCTCCCTGCCGCCCCCGTGCCGGAGCTACACCCACTCCCAGCTCCCTGGCCCTTTGAATAGCCCCCTTTCTCTCTGTTTTTTACATGCAGGATGCGGACCAAACACTTCTATTTGTTTGTTTGTTTATTTATTTATTTATTTGGGAAGCTTCTATGCTGCCCCATTCGCCAAAGCCTCGGGGTGGCTCACAACAATAAATAAATAATAATATAAAAACAATATAATTCGAGATGACCTGGCCAGAGATATAAAATAAATAAATATTAGCAATTAAAATGACGTTTAAATAAAAAGGACTTGGCCTGGCGCCGAAAAGCAAATAACGACGGCGCCAGGCGGACCTCTCTGGGGAGCACATTCCATAGATGGGGCGCCACCGGAGAGAAGGCCCTCCTCCGGGTACTCACCCTCCTAATATCCTTCACGGAGGGCTCCCGGAGAAGGGCCTCTGCCGCCGATCTCAAGGGGCAGGCGGGCATATACGGACGTAAGCGCTCCTTCAGGTAGCCAGGACCCAAGCCGTTAAGGGCTTTATAGGTCATAACCAACACCTTGAATTGGGCCCAGACTTCAATGGGGAGCCAGCGAAGCTGACGGAGGACTGGGGTTATATGAGAACAACGCCCAGTCCCCGTCAGCAGCCTGGCAGCTCTGTTTTGCACCAATTGAAGTATCCGGACCGTCTTCAAGGGCAGCCCCACGTAGAGCGCGTTACAGAAGTCACTTAATGCACAAGGAGTGCCTCTGTACATAGGATGCTTCCCCTGTGGAACTTCTGCCCGGCTGCCTGAACTTCTGCCTGGCTGCTATGGAGGAATGCTAGCAATGAGAATAATAGACCGTGGCCTCTGCTCATGAGCGGGGAAAGCTTGGCTCTCGACACCCCAATCCTGAGCTGGGAATAGAACCCAGGAGTCCTGAGATCACCCCGGCCGGCCTCCCCTCCTGCCCCGGCCATAGGTGGGAGTAGGAGGGCCCGGATTAGCTGCAATTAAGCCATCAGGACCCTTTGGGTTGAACAACCCTGACAAACCCCAATCAGATTAGGGGGGATTAGCAGAGAAGGTGGCTTTTCCTCGGAGCAGCAGAGACAGCCTTCCAGGGCAAACACAGGGACATCACACCCTTGGAAATCGGGGCTTCCAGCCAAGAGGAGGTAGAAAAACAGCAGAAATCCAACAGGTGCAGCTGTTTCTAAGGGACACTTCACCTGAGTTGGGGCTGGCCGGGGAAGGCAAGAGAGAACATCCGCGCCCCGAACTCCTTGGAGGACGGTCAGGGCAAACAAAATAAATCGCCCAATAATGAATATTCCATCTGTGTCAAAATGGTACCATCAGGGTAAACGTTTGGGCTGGTGCCACGGGGCCCCGCTCGGCAGGTAGGCCTCCAAATCTGGCAAGACCGGCTTCCCACAGTTTGAAGTAAATCAAGCAGTACCCATGAATTTATGAAGCCTCCCTCCCCTCCCACCCGCACCCTGTGGCCACCCATGAGGACATTCAGGCCAAAATTGCTGCCTCACAGAACATTTCCATGACACACGCACACAAATGCCCTCTATATTTCACAGACAAAAATATGGATGTTTATGCAACACTCGCATTCTTGGATTGTTTTTTTTAATCGCACACATCCTGTGGCCCCTTGGTGACTTTTTCTGTGGATGCTTCTGTTCTGTTTCTTACTATTTACGAAAAATAAAAATATTATTTAAAAAATCACACACACACACATCACTACCTGGGGTTCCCCCACCCCCCGGAGATGGGATGCTTTGCCAGAGGCTGCTGAGCGTTGCGAGCGGTCCATTTTCCGTCAATTTAAATGCTGGGAGGGGCATTTCTTCGTTTCGTTAATGATCTACCAGAGACACCGGATTGCCCCACATGACAACAGGTTATGGCAGTCCGAAACGTAACAGCGAGGGCGGAACGGAAAGCTGCGCAAAGGTGGGACACCTGGAGAGCCGCCCAGTACATCGGAGTGAGGATGCCTGGATCCCTCTGGCCTATCACTCTCAACATGGCCAGGGGGCGTGGATGATAGACGGGGCAGGCCAAGCACCCCAGAAGTCCCTTCCGGCA